AACATTAAAAGCATAAAATATATAAATACATAAAACCTTAATTAAAAACATTACTAAAAAGGAGAAGGCGAGTCCAAGAGAATGAAAAATCTGAGGCTGAAGGCAGAAGGCCTCTATGGGGATAGCCATCCCCGTGCCTGGGGTATTCCCACCCCAGGCCAGGTTTCCTCCGAGGGCAAAGAATCCTTGGTTCTCGTTTAAACAAGATGTTCTGCTTCCCTACTTGCCTCTGCCCAAAGCGCTGGGATTTCCTTTAGGAGAGGTCTTTCAAACCGCGTGTTCCCAGATCAGCTTGCAAAAACACTGTAATATTAGGAACTGGTGTGGCAGCTAAGATGGAGTGAGACACCCAGTTGTCTGAAAGCATCAGGGGAGTCCAAAGAGAAAGGAGGCCCTCTATAACTCAGGTTGGAGGGTCTGGAGAAATAATGGGGCTTTTGGTATTCAGAAAGTTGAATCTGGGGACTAATCAAGCTGCCACTTTCCTATGCGTGATGGGGTTGCTTGCCCATAGCTTCCATAGCCAGCAATGGTGCCCTAGACAAGATTGCCCCTCTGGCTTGCTCCAGAAGGCAAGGCCAATGGATCTTCATGTAGCAAAGAGAACCCATTTCCCCCTGCAGAGAGCGGGAGGGTCTCTGAAGTTGTCCTAGGCTGCTGGCAGATGGATTCTCCCTGGTGCGTGGCCAGTTGCTAGGCCTGCCAGTCGTGCCACGATAGCAACTGAAGCTTCCAAATGTCTTGGGGGGGGCAACTTCTCGGGGTTAAAGTGGCTGATGGCACGGGCCACGGTCATGTTTCTTCAACTGTAATCTGGGGATGGAATTAAGAGGGTGCTCATCCTGAACCAGTTGCCAGTCTGCTGCATTTCAAATGCTCGGATTGCTGGAAATGTTTTCTCTGACCTAAGTGACCCCCTCCCCTGTTTCTGGATGGCTCTCATCTCATGACTGCTTGCTTACCGCAGAACTAGACTATGCCAGACACTATATGGACATTCCTTGCCAGGTCTTTGCCCTTCAGCCTACCCATCTAGGCATAAACAGCTGCCCCAAAGAAAGGCCTTTGTGCGTGCCAAGGTGGAGGAGAGATCTGTGTGTGAAAAACTGCCACATCCTCTCCACCTTTCCAGCAGCCCCGTGGCTCTCCGACTCCTAACTTCTCCACCGTTTTTCCTTCCTGGGAGATTGGCTGGGTGTCCTGGGACATGGCCGTACCCCAGAGAGCAAATATACGTTGATGGAAGGGCAATCCCTGCTCATTTGCGTTTGAATTGCGGCCTTGCTTAATTCTCCAATCTCCCTTTCTCCCTTCCAGGGCAACCTGTGAAGACCGCGAGCCACGTAACCAAGCCGATAGATTTCCACTTCTGCACGGATGAGCGGATTAAGCAGCACGGCGAAAGTCAGCCAGGCCCAGAGTATAAGGAGATGGATTTCGCAGCCGCCCTGAGGAGACACCCGCCTTCTCCGGTGAGAAGCTTCAACTAGGATTGGTGGGTTAGTGCCAGGTGGAAACAGCTGCAAATAGCAAAGGCGACAAAGGGTACGAAAGTGTTGGCACGGAAAAAAGGGTCAAGGCGGGTCTGTCTTATACATGTTCCTTCCCCCTGTTAAAGAGGAGGAGGAGGAGGAAGAATTGTAAAACCTCCAGTCACGTTGTACCAAATTGCACGCATTCTTAAATAAGAGGCTGGTTTTTATAGATTCATCCCTTCATCCCGTAACTTTTTGGCCCTCACCAGAGTTATAGCTGGGTGAAATTTCACTTGCAGCGAAGTGGAAGAATGGGGGTTTTAGCATCTAATCCAAGCTTAACTGGTGAAAGCCTGTTCTGATTACGGTGGGAAGAAGCTCGACCGGTCAGTCAGATGCAAACCTGTCCCTTTACAGTCCCGGGTGGGAAAGGGACCCACAGTCCCGAAGCCGTTCAATCTCTCCTGCGGCAACAAGCGGAAGCTGGATGAGCCCCCCACGGAATATGTCTCGCTGGCCCAGCAGGTGGAAAGCTTTCAGAAACGCACTCCCCTGCGGTACCATCTGCGAAGCAGGAAGGAAGAGGAAGGTAAGGCGGGGTGGACCCGTTGCCGGCTGGGAGCTGCGTTGTGGGCCTTCGGCATCGTGTGTTACGTGAGCCCGGCCAATTGCGGCTTACTCAGTCAATCAGGGCCAAGGGAATGAGGGCTCTGAGTGGTTTGGGAAGCGTTTGTTCTGAGCATTGAGCCCGTGCCCAGCCCAGCTGCCTTTCTTTTGGGGCGGGGGAGAAATGGCTGCGATGGGTTAGGTTTGTTGGCAGAGCTGCTTGAAAGGTCTGATGGGGAACAGGAGGATTTGCTTCACGGAAGGCGCTAAGGGTCCAGCTACTCTCCTCACACCGTGGGGAGATGCATGTTTTTTTCCCAAAGACCAGCTGTGAATTGTGGGGAAGGGGATTTACCCTGATTGAGAGTACTTCAAGCCTGCTTGAAACAAATCCATGGGGGGGATGAGAGTGAAGGGGTGCAGACATCCCTGATGAAAAGGATGGAAAGCCTTTGCTGAGGTTGAGCCCCCTCACCAGGGCTTTTCACTCCGTCTCCGTCCAGCTTCCTCTGCCTGCCTTCATTCAGATTTCATATCTCCCTTTCTCAGTTCCCGGCCTACGTTTTGTCTTCCTTTTTCCTGCTCCTTCTGGAAGGAAGGAGGGAATGTATAGGTGTGTGGTGTGCATAAGAAAGAAAAGGCTTGCTATTTTGCAGGTGGGAATTGATTACATGACCGAGAAACCCACATATACGACGCAGTATCACACAATAGAGTGATGTGGTTAATTGGCAGAACCTCCAGACATTATTTCAGCTGGAACGGGCAATTGGATGGGATTTACCTCTTTTCTCATTCATTTCTGTCTACTTCTGTCCCGGGAACAGCATCTTAAATTCAGGCTCATGGTTTAGGTGCAAGCCTTTCTTTGAATAAACTGTTTTTCCGTTTTTTCCCCTTTCTCTCTCTCTGTATGTGTAAAACTCACCACGCTTAGCTACACCCCACGTTTTAAATTATATTCTCAGGCTCTGCTTTTCTCTCTGCTCCTTGTAGGCACAGGTCCAAGCAGGCCCTTAAAACCCAGACTGACCAACCCCAAAACTCCCCGCCTTGAAACCAAGAACCGCTCGAGACCTGTGACTTGCAAGAGCACTGTTGAGCTGGAAGACGAGGAGGTTGCAAAACTTCAGCAGTGAGTAGTTTTTATTAATTTATTGAAATTCATTGGCCGCCCAACTCCAGTGGACTCTGGGCGGTGAACAAAATGTAAGAAACATAAAAACAGCAAGAAACATTAAATCAACAGGCAGCCCAGACTAAAATACTCTGCTAATAAAACTGTGATGGAATGGAATTATGAAGGCCAAGCTCAGAGAGATAAACATTTTCTTAGCTCGCCGGAGGAGCGTGGGAGCTACAAGAGGATGA